GTTTGTGAGTACGGACCCTAACATTTCATCTTGATTCATCCCTAATTTTATGGGAATATAAGCAATTAGTTTGGACACATAATTATTACCTAGATTTCAAGAGATTAATAAAACTTTTCTTTTTGTTTGAAAAAAGTCTCATCTCAGCAGCAATTTAACAAAACAAAGACTTTGTATAGCTTCTTACAGTTATTCATCGGCGATAACCGCAAGATATTAAAAAACAGTTCAGACCAATCGCTGCTATTTCGACGCATTAACAAAGAGTAGAAAAAAATCCATTTCGAATTCCGGTCTATAACAATAGAAAAGCATCGTTGAGCGTACTTGTTGGTACATCAACGTAATTACAATGCCATTTCCAGACTCCCTATAGCATTAATACAAAAGCTATGCAGGCCATTGCGACTGCCTACGTAGAAACAAACAGCTTCTATCCGCGGATTGTAATTAGGAAGTATATGTTGTTAATCCCACGCACACCCGATACGGTTCTGTGAAATTAATAGCGGCTAATAATTTTCGCTATGCCCTTTATTGTAATATTATATTATTTGATACTAGCGGTCGCCAGCGACTTCGTCAACAAAGTATTGAAAAAGGAGCCTGTAATATACCCGCATGCATCAGCTATCTTCCCTTCAAAGTTCCGGACAGAAAAAAAATTAAAAATTGGTTTTTCGTTTTATTAATTTGTTTTCTCTATATTACGTATAAAGTATGGAAATATAACTCCGATAGTTAACATCGTAACAGCCGTATTTGTAGGATGAATGTCGTAATTGCATGTAAATTCATATTTATAACCTCTTAATACACATTCCCAATATTTGAGTTGAAACTACAATATGTTTATTAGTAGAGAAGTGAACTTAACCGATATCCATTTATCCCGTGTACAAACAGACATTTCCACACACAAGCATAAACTGAAAGGCATATTGTAAGAGTTAACAAGTTGCAAATACCAGGCTATCAATTTTTAATTATAAACAAGTAGGATACGCATGAATGAAGACCATCACTAGACGGCGACATAAAATTTAACAGCTACTAGCCGACACACGCAAGCCCCCGGGCGAGTATAAACGCCTGTCGGAGTCGATTCAAAGCGACCATGTTACGATAGTTATGCTCAATTATGTAGTAAGGTAGCGACAACTCCGTCCGTTTCACTCAATGTCGGTGCATTAATTCATATAATTATACTCATCTTGAATGAGATATATAAAGATTAATTAACTGTAATCATTTTTTTTTCTAGAGAATATGCAACTCTGTTAACGGTCTTGATGAATCTTGTTTGTGTATTTAGGATTCAAATTATGTGATATGTTTGCCTGGTCAGTTCCCAAGGTGTATCTAACTAGTTTTCAACAACAACAACTTACGCCTGTAACCCAGTGGGATAGGCAGAGACTACGAATTCCGTATAGCGCGGTCCTGACTCACCTCTCTAGCTTAATTGTTTATAGATATAAAATCTTACTAAATACTTAATAATATTATAATTGCAAATATTTGGATGTATGGGTGGATGTTTATTTGAAGGGATTTCCAGAATGGCTATATGGATCTCGCTGAAATTTGGCAAAGATGTAAAACATAGTCTGGAAGAACACACAGGCTACTAATCAAGGCGGAGTCGCGGACGACAGCTAGTGTTAGCAAATACGCTAACACTAGCTGTTACTATTGTTAAGAGAATGTTTAGACTGAATTGTAAAGAGAATAAGCCGTCAGATTAAGCGTGAGAATAGTCGGGATGTGAGTATGCAATAAATACTAATTAACCAAATGTGCGCCAAGGCTGAATTAATATGGGGATTTGAGTTAAGGCGTTGTTAATGTCTCATGCTTACAATATTGTCTTATAAATTACATTATATAAGTCTTGCGAAACACAACATTGCATATTCGTTGAATTTAATTGTTTTTAAACAATTTTGTAATAAGTTATAAAAACAGTGTCAATAAAACATATATAATGACATTATAATATTTTAATTAAACAGACTTTTGGATTGAAAATAAGAAGGGATATGTCTTATATGTATGTATACTTACCACACTATCCTTCGTATTTTTACATAAAAATGTATACAAATTAATAGCTTTGTTTTCGTAATAATATATGTAATGAATAATTTATAGTTAGAGACATAGTTTCTCCTTATTTATGTAAATGGATCTCAAGTTTATCAATATGGATATTGATCTTTTTTATTGGTCAAAGTAGATCAATAAAAAATAAATTAATTCAGTATACACGAAGGCAATGGCCCTTTATTGTAAACAATATTAATTATACATACATACATTAATATAAACATACCCATACATGTATGAACAGAATTTAACTTATTTTTTTTTAACAACAAAAAATTGGAAGTTCAAAACCAAGAGATGACTAAACCCACCCACCTTCAGTCTCACATTTCAGCGTTCTGGCAGCGCCCTCTACCAAGAAACACAGGATCCAAAATGGCGGACGGAAGTGGGCAGACAACGCCGCGTTGTTCTCTATATATAGACGTGATTTTAGACGCGTGCGGTACACAGACTAAACAAATCCAGTAGCTCAATGATGGAAAAAGATAACTGTGTCAACAGCTAGCATTAAAACTGTTTAATAAACGAGAGAATGAGTTCGTTTAATATAAACCTTAATGGAATATATAATATGAATATTGTGAATGATGGATTTAATACAATTAGTCATACATTGCTATGAAATACTACAATAATACATTTACGAGTAGACCAGAGTTAGACGTAGTTAGAAAAAGTGCATTCGCTTCGAAGCGATTCCATAACGAACTTCAAAAATGGATGAAACTGAGGCGCGGCAATCACGAGACTTCACGAAAGTTAAGGTCGTTATGGAAGCGCTTCGGAGCGAATGCATTTTGTCAAAGCCCTCTGGATTAAGGATGCAACCAAAACTTAAGAATTTACGAAACTAATAATCTACTAGTGTTTAAAACATTCTAAATTATTTCCAGAGTTTAGCTTCAATTATTTCCATAGAGTGGTTATTTACGAGTTATTTCGTCTAAGTTGCGCATCTATGCTTACTGATACGGCAACCGCAACGGATATCTTTCGAGACATTGACTTTTTCTAGACCGCAAGCGAGATACGGTCTGATATTATCCTTAAGTTACGTCCATCATAAAGCTATGAATTAATGTGACAAGTGACCATCATGTTAGAATAATTCTAAGGAACAAAAAAAATTAAATAGTAAAAATGTTTCAACAACTTGTATAAAAGATACCATAGCGCGAGTTTTTTTCTGTTCAGTCCAATTATTGTATAAGTAAACAAAACTATTCATGTAAGAACCGAATAATATAAAAAAAAGTACAACATAGGGTAACAAGTAGCCTGAACAAATATAACAAAATCGTCGCGGTAGTTTGGAATGTATTTTCCAAACTCGAAATGGCGTAAATATCTCAAACACGAATCGAATCCAATCCCGGACCGGACGAGAGCTATAATCTAAAAAAGAAATCATTCGCAGCGAAGGCTCACAATGTGTATTGTAATGGCATCACGTACGATAATCGATACCATTATGACATACAAAACAGAATTGCACCTAAGTATAATCCAATATTTATACCATCCGTGACTGCGACGCTTCGAAATTCCAGTAGAAATGATTCTTTTGTCCTTATCACACGATCGGATAAAAGTGAATGGGAAATAGGGACGGGTGTTTATAATGCACTTCATCTGTCCGTCGTGTTTGCACTGGCTCGCCTCTCGCCTCTCGCGACAGGTAAATTCGTCGACAAAAGCGGTGGGAGTCCGTGTTTATTATGAGGAATACCGAAATGCAGGTAGAGTTTCATTGTATACGCGCCCCCAGCTAGCGAATAATAGAGTTTTAGGAAATGGTACAATGAACGAGTAATTTATGTAGACGGCCATACAATATTCTTCATAAATTTCGGGAAAGGTGGATTTTTTGTACGGCGCCCGTTCAATCGCTTGTTTTGGTTTAAAGTTAGTTTCGCTGTTTGTGGTTGTTTTTGTTTGTTTTACGGGCAATTTGCGATTTAAAGGAAGGCCTGTCTTAATCTCCGATGCCTATCTCTGGTTATTTGTGGTACGTTCGTTGATAATTAAGTGCTTTACTCATTACAGTTAACAGTTCCGATGTTAATCTACGCGTAGAATTGGACATAATGAGGTCGACTACCGCGTCTACGTATGAATATTAAACAGTCAGCCGGAGCTCGTATAAAAATTTGATGCTGTCATAAACAATGCTTTATCTAAATTCTTGACATCAAATGGCTATCAAATGAGGCACACCTTGTGCAGTAAACATAACTAATTGATCCGTTCACTGATGTATGCGGCACAAAAAATGAGACGATATGAACTTGATAGAAACCGGCATGTCAAATTCTTTTATACAATAAATATTATTTTATTACAATTGCACTTATAAGATTCTCGATAACATACTGTACGCTTATTGCTATTGAGATAAGCATTAAAATTGCATGAATATTTGTATATCAATTTGCGATCGCATTTATAGGTGCTATACCGGGAAGAATCCCAACTATAGCTACCTGAGCTGTCACCCGCTGGGAAACCGGCGGTGCAGTGCAACACAAGGCAAGCGCCACGTGAAATTGTAAGTTTACTTTGCACTTTTGTTAATAGACAAACAATTAATCTAATGACACAATTGAACGGATACATTTTTACTACGACCACCCATATAACGTAAAGAAAACTAATTTCATCCAACTTTCTTAATATAAGCTTTTTGTCTGGAAGCGATTACTTTTTAAAATAATCGGTTTAAAAACCATCTCATCCAATTTTGATAATCATGGTATGCAATAACTGGTATATGCATAGACAAATTATTTCCAATATTTACTTTTTTAGATAATTTACATGCACAAAATCTTTCGCATTATCTGCATTAAATAAAATAAAGAGTTAAAAAAATTCTTGCTTTCACTCACCTCACTCTCGGTCCAATCGATGAGACTAGACTTCTCCTCTAGAAGGTTTTCGGAGCTGCGCTTCTCGTCCTCGCCGTCCCCCTCGTCCTTGAACACCTTCACCTCATCAGTGGAGCCCAGGTCGTCGCCGCCCGAGCTCGCCGCTGAACTCGAGTGCGCATGAGGCATTTTCAAGAACCCAGCGCCCCAACTTCCATTATCCCATCCTTCAACACCTATCCATCACCACTATCTGTTATCCATGACCACGCACTACGATTCCATTTTGTCTCTAACACAAAAGTAACTCACTGATTATGGTCCTTCGAGCCGGATAAGCATGAGCTAATGTTTGAATCGTTTGTCACTAATCTAAATTAGGCACCCTTTATTTCGACTAAACTAAAATGAGATCACAGATAACTTTTGTCAGGTTGAACTTAAGCTAAATTCGCGTCCCGCTTGATTGTATGCTGAGTTGAATCTGTAAAGAAAAAAATAACAATTAGTTATATCATCCTAGTGATAATATAAAGATGACAAAGTCTTCATTTTACGCAGTTATATTTTGCCGTCCGCGTATTTCGGGTCAAGAAGTTTGTCAAGTGACGTCGACAACCTCTCTTGGCCTAAAGCCAAGTATCGCTGAGAAAACCCCTCGGGAATAACGCATTGACTATACAACAAAATACAAGTACTTTTGTTTTAATTATCTTCGCATTGAAGTAATACAGATGACACGAATTGTATTTTATTATAATTGGATTTTCAATGCTTAATGCCTATCAGAATAATGTGTACCTGTATACAATGTTTCATTACTACAATCATAAATCTTACTAATATTATAAATGCGAATATTTGGAAAGATATTTGTTAGAAATTATTACGAGAACGGCTGTATGAATTTGACATAGATATAGAACATAGTCTGGAAGAACACATAGGCTACTAATTTAGTAAAGCCTTATACATTATGCCATTTTAAACTATTCGCCTTCATTAGACTTATGATTATATATTAAAATGCAAATGTATTTTTAAATAGCAATTGTAACTTTGACAGACGAAAGTGAGGTGAACAGTGCGCGCACGCAGCTTACTCGATACGTCGAATGCATTTGTCATAGTTTGTATGTACGTGTAGTTGGTTTGGTGCAATATGAATAATGTCGACCGACACGCCCGGGGAGAGTTATGCATGTCAATGATGCCATGAGTTACGAAGCGCTAGAGCTCTTTGTTTAATAGGCCTGCTTTAATGAGCGTACGCTGGCTAAGGATATCGCTAGAGGGAACATTATTCCCCATTTTCCCAATGAAAATGAAAATTCTTTCCTGCCAGTGCAAGGTAAATTATGAAATTTTTAAGAGAAAATGTGCTTCAAGCAGTTAACTGGGTATGCCAACGTACGGAATTTACAAGTGGAAGATAAAGCGCAAACGTATGCTGATTTCTCTGTGTTTTGCATGTACTGTGGTACACCTAATTACTAGAGAACAAAGTATGGAAAGTTTATTTTATAACAATGAGCAATTATAAAATTGAACAGTGTCTTATTTTAACAAAACAAAAAAGTATTGTAAATATTTAATTACAGCAAGCATAAGCACCGTTTCATTTAATTCGCCTACAAATACGCAACACTAACAAAAACGTTAATACAATGAATAATAGTTTATAAACTTTAATATGAGATATTTTATAGAAAACTAATAAATAAAAGATTAAGTTTAACATTCTGATTTAATAAATAATCCTAAATAAGAACGTATTTTAATTTGGCAATAAAAATAAATGTTGAACGTAAGGTCTTTAATCTACGCCCACGTGTTAAATAGTAATAATTTGATAGGGCTAAGAAACCTAGTTAATACTGATATATGTTATACGATTTTACTTTCTAATAAATTACATCTATTGCCGGTTATTTATTTCCTTTTATAAACTATATTTTTGTACAGTACATAACACTTATGCTGAGTTAAGAATTTTTATACGTAATTATGATACAAAAATGTTTGTATTTTGTTTTATATCGTGTTGTCACTTCTAAGATACTTGGACAAAAACAAATCACCCTGTTCATTCTATTAAAAATAGAGATAACAATATATTTCTCTACAGGAGTTTACTTGTAGTTATTACGAGAAACATACCGATTTTATTACGAACACGCTGCATAATAAAATTAATCAAAATATTTTTGTTACACAGTATGTACTTCAATATAATTTGCCACTTCTAAGCAATTCCTAGCATAGCATAACCACGAGCAATCATAGTACGACAACACATCATTAGCATTAAGGAACTGACTACATGCATACAATGCAAACAGATTGCGTACTATAGGTGTGAATATGTCCACTGACTAACAAATTATACAGGGTGAGCTGTATAAAGATCACTATGTTTTATACATTTATGCAACATCCTGTTTCACAACTTACGAATCGCTTTTGAATGGTTTTGGCGCGAACCATTGTGCGTAGATTTTTTAATCACACGTGTAGGAATATTCTATAATAATAATTAAAGCAAATACGCCTTACACAAAATAAAGTGTGTCTATGGTAATAAAATAGAGTGGTTCATAAAATGCAAGTTTACTTTGGATATAAAAATTTCTATATAATAAAGAAATATAAAATATAATAACAAGAATACGATAAACACATGAAATATAATCCAGTAGGTTTAAGTAATGCGCAAGAATAATCAATTCCAGTAACCAGTTCCCGGGAACGAAATCGCAGAGAAACGCCGCGGGGCTAGAAACAGGTCGCTAGCGCCAAGTTATTTGTGCCAAGATCTGTAATGCGATAATTACGGTAATGTATGCACAAAAAAATGAACCGTAAATATCTACAACAATAAGAAAACAATGATTTTAAGTTTGTCTTCTACTGTCGAACACTGAAGATAATTTTGTGATGAAGCCTTTGAAACTATTTTTGGGACGCTGGTTTTTTACTTACTTGACATAACGCATTATATATTCTCGTAAATAAATATTATCTATTTTGTTATGTTTATCTTTCGTGTTATGTAATATAAGAAGTTTCAGTCAAGATAATATTATCTGAAGCAAAATATGCTTGCACGTGATAGATGATAGGATAGATAAAGAAAAACAATATAATTTAGTTGTCTTATAAATGGAGAAATAAAGTTTATCTCAATAATACATTAACTGTACCTATATAAAGATTTCTTAACACTGGATGTCGGCAGAGTTAAAGAAAACATAATTAGTAGCCTATGTGTTCGTCCAGACTATGTTCTACATACTGGAGATACTTTCTAACAAACATCTATCCAAACATTCGTATTTATAATATTAGTAAGATTAAAAAAATAGGTACGATTAATGCACTCGTAAAAAACTTGAAGTGACAATCGAAATATGATGATATTTAACTGAAATCACACACTTTTGTGTTTCTTTTCACATTAAATCCAGACTTACGTGAAAACGTGTGAAATGAAAAGCTCAGTACACGAAACAAAAAATAATCGACTTAGACAATATTTGTATTCTTCCATTTGGCAACATAAGTGAGAGAATTTTTCAACGAAAAAAAATATATTAGCAAATGAATTTTGTTTATTATATCCAGGCCTTTATGATTATAGATCCGTGGCTATGGCAATATTCCAGAACATTCAATTTACGATATTGGTCGAGGCACTTAAGCTTAAAGTAACTAATGCATTTATAGACAATTACAATAATTCAAAAGCCAATTCATAACGTTTTACGTAAATCAAACGAAATAATATAACATAAACATAGATATTATTAAGTGGAGATTTTTATAGGTAATAATTTTTATTGACAAATTACAGAAATCGTCAAAAACCATGTAATATTGGGTATGACTTTGGGTCGAATTTGATATCAGAAAATCGGGATTCGAATCCCAACAAACCTACAAATACAAGAAAGATAACCAATTTCACTTTTTCAGATAGACCTTTTCATACTTTTCTTGTCAAACCTCATTGTCATTTTCCTACAGCTTTATCAACCTAATATCGAAGTCTCAAACAATTTAAAGTATTCGAAAATAGGATATAAGTCTGCAAGGCAATAAACAGACAGTTAAACAGTAAAACTGTAAATGGCAATACACTGGCCGACGCCGTTGTAATGGGATCTTGCTTAGGTATCAGCTTTTATGGTGGCCTTTACGATTTCGCTATGTGAAACCATCGGAGAAGCTTCGCGACGTGTGGTCGAGTTTGCCTTCTTTTATTTCCATTCCTTTAGATTTTCACGGCTGCCTATATGAAGTAGACATAAAGCCTGAAGTTTAATACATAATTATCGAGTTCTTAAACTGTGTCGGTGTTAGCGTATCGCTTAACTTTAATTGCATGTATTTAAAAGAAATATATATATTTTTATTATAATTTTAATTTTATTTTCTAAAGGTGGAAGACTATCTTACCTAAGTAAGTTTATACATTGCTCAACGTGTTGCCTGCCAAAAAAAGAAAAGAATGAAACAAATATATTCCTTTCCAGTCCAATCTATACCTCAAGTCCATCTTCCCTTTTTATCCCTATCTTATTAGATATAGAGGAAAAGACGTAATAAGATGATTGCTATTATTAATAATATGAATATTTAGTTCCAAATATTCCACTCCATCTAAGTCGATATTAAAGTTCACACGAATTATAATAATATTTAATCCTCACACTGAGAGTTGACCAATTCAAATTAAATAAATGGTACAAGGCATAGCAATCATTAAATTAACTTAATATAAGTATATGACGCTTAACTTATATCGGCTTAGGATTACCACAATTTTTGTATTTTAAGTTTATTTTAAAACTAGCGGTCATCCGCAACTTCGTCGGCGCTGGAAGAAAGCCTATTATAATTAGCCTATAATATGTCCAGCATGTATTTGCTACCTTCTTGTAAAATTAGTGCAGCCTTTTGGAGATACGAAACGGAACAAAAGCGGCTTTGCGTAGAAATAAATTTTTTTCGCTATAAATGCGTCTTGTGTACAAAATATTTTTACTACTACATACAGAAAGTCCAATTTTGTTAATTTTCTACAGATATAGGTTGTAACCTTTACTCGTCTAAATAAATAATAATATTTACACCGGAAACTATATTTTGTCTAATTGAAGCCTCTTTTAAATAGCATTGGGTCTAAATAAAATTTTATTAATAAGACCACTTAACTAACAGACTACCAAATAAACATCTCTTATTAAAATCAAATAATAATACTAATAGGTATTTTGAGGACTTGTCCATAAATAGAATAATTTATGGTAACACTAGTCAACCTCACGTTAGCGAGTGGTTTTAAATAAGCGTCTAATGCATTAGGTTATTACTTAGGATGGGTTGGAAACTACCGCTGTGATAACTGAAGTTGTAATGTATGGATTTCTTTGCCAGTTAAATTATTATTATAAAAGACATTAAACTAAATAGCGTGTTGCT